GAATTCAATTCTTTTCAGAAGTCCCTTTCGTGACAGTCTGATCTCAGTGATGCATCAATAACTTCAGATTCTTTAGTAAATGTTGGCGAAACTATGGAAGTATCCTCTTATCAAAACATGTGTTGCTGGTGCGATGGGATATTTTGCATGTGAATTGGTGGATTCAGTGGACTCGAGCCCCATGCTTGATGAAAATGAAGAATGGTAAGTTTTTTTTATGAGTTTTCCTTGAAAACAAAGCTAGGCTGTGGGATTGCTCATCAGTTTCGTGATATTCTTATGTTGTATGCGCCTTCAAAGGTTTGCCCATTCCACATGTTGTATTACCGAATAACTTGTCTTTTGACCGTTACGCAGTTTAGGCGAGAGAAGCGTTCACGTTTTTATGAAACGTATTTTAAAATAACCGAAATAGCTGGCAAACGGCGTTATATTGAAGAAGATTATCGACAGAGCATTCCCTCTGGATCGTATTTGAGGTCAGTTAACTCTGTGTTCGCCGCATTTTCCTCCCCTCCGCATTGATTTTTGTCTTTCAAATGTGTTTTTCAGATGTGCGGTTGATTCGCTGGAAAAGGCGCATCGCATTATTGGCTTCGATAGCGATGATAAATTACGTAGGAAAATTTTGCGTAAGGTATTTGCTTTGGCTTTTTTTTCGACTGCTAGAACCAATTCTTTGCTTGGCGTTACCATGCAATTTTGCGTCGTCACGTGTAGTTTTTACCGCATTTTCGAATACATAAAACTGTTATCTTGATAGCACTGATGTAGTTTCCCATACTAAGACAGTCTCGAAAAATGCTGTGACTTTATCGCTAAAAAAAACTTTTTCGACCAAAACGATTTTGAGCCTTCGAGTTTCGCATATTTTACCTAAAAAGCTGACCGCCATCAGTTGGCTTGCGAATAATTGCCGAAAGAGGAAGCCATCAACAGTATTAGCACCCTTGGTGGCTGTTGATAAATAATTCCACTCGGGTTATCTCCTACTGCTTTTGACTGTTATGACGAGGTTTACAGAAAGGTTTTGGTTTTTTGTTTTGACTGAAAAATTGATTTTGCAAAGAATTTCATGACAGAATTTTATGGCATAGTTTAGACTGTGAAAAAATTCCTGACTTTTCAAGTATTTTTAAGTTTTGGTGGGAATTTAGACGCTTTAACTATCGTAGCAAGCAGCATCAGTTGTTGGAGATGGAGAGCCGGAGCAAGTAGTAGACCATCTTTCTTGAGAAAGAAAACGCTTCATAAACTTATTCGAAAGGCAAAAGTAGGTTTTTTTCATAATAAAAGTTGTAGGGATAACTGAAAATAAGGCGAAATATGGTAGTTTCAAGGAAATATCTTCTTCAAGAATACTGCTACTCGAGCAGTTTAACTTTTTTCCAGGCACATCGTTACGCAATCAAAGCAATGTGCAACGAAAAAAATGAGGAATTGCGGCAGAAAGCACACAAATGGTACGAATTCTCGAATTTACATAAGTGATGTAATTATTTAATTTTCTGCATAGACAGTAGTGAGTGTTAGTGTTTTTGTTGTTTACGCTTTGCTTGAGCTGATTCTTTTTTTGTTTATTGACTTTTCTGATTTTTTTTTTT